TTTTATTGGGGCAGATTGCAGAGTCATTAGGGCACTACCCCTGTTTAAGATTTTTTTTTTTTGCTTTTTCAGAAACAGGCGTGCGCAATGCATTTTTACCAATATGCGTACGCAAACCAGTATGAGCGCAGCAGGTGTGATACAGAAATAGACTGTTATACTCCGTTTCACCTTAAGTCCGACCGCAGCGTACGCTACAAAACGACAGAGCCAATCAAATAGCGGCAAAGGTGCAACATCACGGAGTGCATCACCGGGGGACCCAATAAGGTGCAAAAAGTGCTTTTGTCGCTGCTTGGTGGGTCATATCGTCACGTAGCGTCCGCAGCGCTTAGACCTAAAGTGAAATGGAGTATAACTGCAAGTTTGTCTCATAAGAAAATTTAATCTACCCTGATGTTACATTTAGTAGTGATGATTATCCTTAGCCAGCGGAATCAGGGAATCAACCGTGGGCACCTCTTACGCGGTGGTTCGCTGAACCGTGTTCAGCAAAAATTGGCGAGCGCTGTTGCATCGTCTGCTCTGTGCCTAGCAGACGACAAAGCGAGGGTGTGCTCGCAGGCGGGAAGAGCGAGTCCGCCACACGGCGCGTGCGCGGAGTTTCGGACGGCGCCTGCTATGGGGCGCTGGGGGTACGGGGCGGCCGCCGCTGCCGTGTTATAGCTAACAGTGTCCACGAGAGTACATTTTCACTTTACAGTTGAACGCACAGCTAGGCTTTGAAGCAGACGAAACGTGTCTTTGGTGGCACTAAGGCGATACAATCACGTTACAAACTTCCTTAAGTAAAAAAATATAATAAAATAAACAGCGAAATTTTATTTTTGTAACTACATAAGGTGGCAAGGAACTTTTGAGTAGAATATCTTTATGTTGTAATTTAAGTTGTGTCACACTCCACATTCAATTGTTCGTAAAATCTCAACCCACTGTTTTTTGCGGCGCCTTGGATTTTCCAGTTCGCTATCAAACCGAAAAAAAAAAAAAAAAGAAATAGCGGTGGAAGGCTAGAGAGCGACTGTCTCCAACTATGCAGTTATTCTTGTTGAATAACTGAAGGCATCTTGGTAGTTTACACGGCTTTTGCATTAACCTCAAATCGGCGGGCGTTGTGGTGGGTTTGAGAATGCACGGTAACACTCGTAGACAAGAACAAAAGGAGGAAATGCCACTGTACGCTACCGATCAGCTAAAGCCAAATTTGAGGGTTTTACGTGCCAAACCAACGAGGGGCATCTGGCACGCTCTAGCGGAGGACTGAGGATTAATTTTGACCACCCGTGGATCGTTTGACGTGCAGCCGAAATCTCGGTTACATGGCGCCTTCTCCGCAATAAGCCTCCCTCACATTGCGGGCACATCGGTCGGGATGCTATTTATGAGCTGTTTAATCACGGGAAAAGAAGAATCTATAAATACACTGTGCCATCGCACCACTGCACCGTGCGTGAAATGTTGTCTTTTACCCGGATTAGACAGTTGAAAGTTATCGCACAGTGGTGTTCAGTTCTCCTCCTTTTGTATTTTCTTTCGAGCGCTACCATGTATTCTTAGATTCAGCACCGATTCGTCCAACAATCAGCAATCTGGTGGCCTCGCTGATGAACGGCTAAGTTATTATTCAGCGGTTAACTTAATATCAGCGACATTCCCGACCAAAATCGTCGTTGTAATCGCGATTCGCGATTGACTAAACGCTCACTGTGACGTCTTTACTTGGATTGATGTTTTTTTCATTGGCGGAAATCAGCGCAATGTCAGAGTGTCAACTGTGACGATGTTGCTTTAAGACTGCGATGACTCCAATCTTCCATTGTTATTTTTACGCACATCATTTAACCGGAACTGATAATAAGTAAAGACTAAATCTCATGACGTCCCGACGAGGCAAATTCTTGTCGTTACGTCACGAACGGAAACCATAAAACCGCGGTCACACTGCTCATAGATCATAGAAAAACAGTCTGCAAACATGAGTCACCGCAATATCCGTGGTTCGAAAGCCGCGTGCCATGTTCCCTCCTTGAAATCATTGCCGTGCGGCATTCGAAGCAGGAATCTCGCGGTGACTCGCGTTCGAATCTGTATGCACACTGTCTTTTGTATGATGTATAAACAATGTTACCCTGGCTTAGGAGGGCGCCACCGAAACATCTCGGAGCTAATAGTCACTGCCATGTTCCTGCTCCGTGGGCAGGCACGTGATGGCAAACCTACGAAAGTTACCCTTGCGCGCATTACGCACGTGCGTCAACGTAATGAGTACTAGCCGGGCCGCCATGCTCGGAGTTTTGCTGATGCAGCGAACCCGGAGCCGGCTCTTTATACATGACTTGCCCGCACGTGACATTATCGCACCATGCTATAGGGGGTATTCACTGGACGCCATATTTGTGGGTGCTGTTTAGAGCGCATGCTCAGAACGAGCTCACATCAATAGGCTGCTAAGACCGGCACTCTTGATGGTGCGAAATGCACGTTTCAAAAAAACTGTGGAAGCTCGCCGTCAGCTCGCGCTTAGCATTCGGGCACACAGCTATGGCCGCCCAGCGAATACTCCCTATACTTTGTTTCACCTTATGTCCGAGCGCGGACGATGTTATGAGCCGAAGGGCCAATCAAACAGAGCAAAAAACGCAACGTCATGGCGAGCTCTCTGCGCTTGATAGGAGTGGCCGGCGGAGGAGCACGCACAGAGAGACGGCGAATACCGGCTAGTCCTTTCAACTGCAGAGCACGCCTTGACGTTGTGCCTCTTTCGCTGCTTGATTGGCCCTTCGGCTCATAATATCGGCCGCGCTCGGACCTAAGCTGAAACGAAGTACAGAGGCCATTTCTATTCTTGGGCCGGCTTGCTCCAAGCAGAGTCTCATTTGAGACTGCTCAAAGAAAGCGCTGTCAAGGCTAGCGCTCGAGCTTAAGCCGAGTCTCAGACGCTCGCGCGCCCGAGCCTTGGCAGCGCTTTCTTTAAGCAGTCTCAACTGAGACACTTCTAGCAAGCCGGCCTTGGTTTCAGCTTAAAGGGGTGCTCCATCGATTTTTTGAGCTACCTCAACTAACTATATTTTCTGACTCCCCGGCCTTTACTCTCTCCGGTATGTTATTTAGAATCGCGAAATTCATAATAGTTATTGCGAAATCGGCAAATGAAAATGATGCAAAAACCAACATTCAAATATACGCGCGCTTTTCAGGGCCGTGACGGCAGTGGCAGGCAGGCTTGCCAGTCGAGCAAGCAGCCAAAAAATAGAATATGCTAATCATTTGTTCCGTTCTAGAGCGCGGGGACTGCAGCGAGCTTCCCAAGCATTCATTTGACACCATGAAACTGCTTCGAATCAGTTTAAAACGAAATCTACAGCCCAAAGAGTGAACCCCTGCCTTCCACTGACGTCACTTTTACATTGTTGCCAGTAGAGACTTCGAGCTTGAAAAACACGGAGAGGACCAAAACTGTAAATTCAATAACTTCGCGAAAAAACAATATTTTGACCTAATATTTGGGATACTATTTTCGCGATGTTTGTTGGTTAGTTTAGCCAAATTTCAACCAAATCGGAGACAATGAAAAAATCGGTGGAGTAGCCCTTTAAGTCAGCCGACGCTACGAGGTAATGGAACCAAAGAAGCAGCATCAAAAGCGCAAATCACTAGGCTTTTCCTGTTTAGTATTGGTTCAGAAATTATAGAACACTTACAAAAACACGACGCCTTTGAAGTTGTCTGATTGGTCCCATCAACTCGTAGCGTCGGCTGCGTTTGGACTTAAGTTTAGGCGAATTATAGCTGTTCTTGCAGAGGAGAACACACTTGGTTACGCAAAATGAATGCTGCAGAAGGTTATAAGATCAGGGGAAAGACCACCACAATGGCTGTTGTTGTGTCGTCAGTAGGGGCCGTGTATAATATTGCAAACTTTAGTAATTCTTACGTGTGTATATGTTGTTGTGTTTGTTTTTCGGCTACAGGCGTCAAATAATGATACAGGGCTCTGGTTCAACAAGACTTTCGGTGAATTCCAATGGTCGTTTTGGATCAATGGCCTAAATCCACGATGTAGCACGCAATCTGTGCAGAGTCGTTGAGCCTCCGGGTCTACTAGTTGAAGACGAACTCCCCTCCGAAAGCAGCTGACAATAAGTAGTCAAGGCCCCTGATGATGAGAGAACGATTAAAATACGTTGTGATCTGTAGCCGGATAGCCGCTTGGACGTTGCAATCAGCTGTTTCTACGATGGCACGTTGTCTTGTGGACAACAAACAAACAGGGAATTTTCCGCTTTAAACACAAAATCTTCGTTTGTAATTTAAAATGGTATAGCATTTGAACTACACACGCACCATCAAGATAAAAATATACCTTGTAATTCAGGGACAGTGGCTGAGCTGAAAACAGTCGTAATACCAAATTTGAAACCAGAGTTGACCTTTAAGCAGCATCTACATCATCAAAAAAGTCAGGGAGCACACTTATGTATGGCTTTCTTTTTAACAACGAATTGTTCCGCCTGGGGTTTTTTGAACCCCAGGCGGAACAATTCACGAGATGTGAATCGGAGTTTCCCTTCGGACGTGCGTCATGTGCCCTTCAGAAATGACAAAGTGGAGAGGAAAAGCTACGCTTTTCATTCTTTGCCAGCGTCTATGACCAATACCAGATAGAATAATCAAACCTGTGCACCAGCGTTCTGACGTCATCAAAGGGAAATTGAGTGAAGGCCGAAATTGGAAACAAGTCCTGCGCCGGCGTTCGGCTGGAGCTTGAACGTCGACGTACGTTGGACGTCGGGCTCAGGCACAATTGCCGAGCTTGCGCCATTCGAGTGCGATGATATTACGTGGAGGTAGAAAAGGCGGTTCTTAGGCTTTGATCATGCTAGGCTGCGTTTCTTTGACGAGATCCTTTGGTCGTCACCAACGCCATCGGCTGTCATCGTGAGTTTGCTCGGTTGCGTTGTACCGATGACACAAGAGTCTGCGGCGGCACGCCGACCTACCTTGCGTTGGCGGGACGGCTTCGCTTCGCTGTTCCTCGTCTGCCTCCTCCATCTTGAACTTCTCGCAAGACCAGGCCATGGCCACGATGGCCGCGTCCTCGACCAGCGTCACCTGGGCCACCACTTCGCCGTGCATGTCGCTCACCAGGATCTGGCCGTTCGACGTGCCGAACAGCACCTGTGCACAGACCGGCCCCATGGGCCTTAGGAATTCGTCCAACACAAAGCGCTGCGAGGCACTCGAGGTGAAATTTTATACTGCTTTTCGCCATCGAGCTGCAGTCGTTTCAGTCCCCATACCTGCCCGTTACGATATGGATAAGCATGGTATCGGTGTGCAGTCGTGTATTACAATTACGTTGTGTGCGTTAAAGCCCCCGGGCTAGCAGTCGCACTGCAGTGGTTGAATTCGTCATCTGCAGCGTAAACCAGTGTCCTCATACCTCAAAGGCAGACTGATCTTACGCTGTCTGAACACGACCTTCTAATCTGCATTTTGTTTACTTACTATCATACAAACCTAAATTGTTTTGTGATTAATTTCGCTCGTCTTTTTCAGAGTTTCGATGTTTTTCGTTCCACCGAGCGCCGGTGCGTGTCGAGAATAAACAAATAGATATATGCATAGATATATAATAACGTCGTAAGAATAGAAGGAAGCTAAAGCTACAAGCACGTGCCAAAAAAACTGATTCGTGCGCGTACTGAAACCTAGAAAGCTGCTGGGATACCATGAAGTTGTTTTTATTCTATCAAGATACGCTTCTTCGACGGCACTACGCAGTCATCAAAAGTGGCAGGCCTTGTGTCAAACAAACAAGCGGTGCATAAGGCTGCATTCACACTGGCGTTCGAATCACAACTGCGAAGCGGACCCGCTCGTTTTCATCATCCCCTGCGCGTGAATTTGTATTGCCTCTTAAGCAACCACGTTCGCAACTGTTTTGCGGATGCGGTTTAGCCACCAGTTTGAATGCGGCATAAGAGTGACCCTTAAATGGGTACTAAACCACATTCTGCAATAATGTATTTATGATCATAACTGAAACTCTAGGCCCAAACATCTTTAAAAACAAAAAACAAAATTACTCTCACGCGTGCCGATTGCCCTATTAAAATCGGTATTAAAAGAGCGACACCAGATGGTGCCGTCCGGCGAGGAAGGGCAGAGCCGTATATTGGGCGAGTTTGGCCAGTGGGTGTGGCAACGAAGGCGCCGGAGAGGAGGAAAGTGAAGGAAAGGGACGAGAGCGCCGAAGGAGCGAGAGAGAAAGGAGGGAACAAAGAGGAGTCGACCGACATTTTGACGCAGCGCCTGTCGGCGCGGAGCACTGTTGAGGCTACGTGTCGTCTGCTACGGGCTTATTTCTTTTTCGCCTGACTCAAAGTTTGCTTTTAAACGTGGAGAAACTTTATTGGTTAGCTTTTCAAGCCACCGAGGAATAACATTACAGTAATACCTCGTTAACTCGAAGTCATAAAAACCGTGAAAATATTCGAGATAAGCGAAATTTCGAGATAAGTAAAATACCGAAATTTTTTACCTCTGATCGCGCAATGTTCTAAATAAAACTTCTAACTATTGTGGCAACACCAACCTCCCTGATGAGAGCAACTTTCCACTCAAGCGTCAATGATTTGCACTGTTTAGGCTGCGCTATCTTCACAGTCAATCGAGTCACGCCAACAACGTCAGAGAATTCACAACCGACGACCGAATTGAACAATTGACCCTTGCTCGTATGGCGCCACAAAATAATCGAAACACCCGGGAAAAAATGGGGGACAAGCAACAAAAAGCAGCAACACTCGAAACGAACGAGTCACCTCTGCAAAACACGAGACTGACGAGACAATGACCGGACCGGGAAGGGAAACGGAAGAACCCAGAAGCAAAGAAGACAAAACGAAGGAAATTGGGTTGTGTGTGTGTTTATACCGCCTAGAACTTGGTCTGCCTCAGAGGGGCGACGAGTCTCCCAGCTGTAGATGAGAAATTTAGCCAGTGCGGTACAGCCGCTAGCCTGGGGTCTTTAACGTGCATCACGCAGTAGTGATACACGACCGCACGCCGGTACGATGCTCATCCAGATCGAAACGGGCAGGGGTGGGGCTCGAACCCAGGATCCCTGGGTTCTGCAGCGCGAGCTTTCGCTCCACGTGCTCCGAGCTGGTCTGCGCTAGACCACTCGGCCACCGATCCCCCCCAAAACGGAGGACAGACTGGAACAGCAAGCTCGGCATCTCGGCTTGCTATTGGCTCGTTCAAGTGGAAAATGCAAAAAAAAAAACAAAAAAAAAACAAAAAAGAAAAGACCACAAAAGTTTTTGAGTCACGTTGAATGGGTTAAAACAGCGCAAAAAGACGAAGGACCAGTAAACAGGAAACACGCAGACACAGCGCTCTGTCTGTGTGTTTCCTCTTACTGATCCTTCGTCTTTTTGCGCTGCTTTAACCCATTCAATATGATCATCAACCAACTCAGCCAACCTTACACCTTGTTTTTGAGTCGCAGGTCTCTCCGCGTCTCCGTGCAACGCACCCACGGTTATATATTTTTTTTCGCCCGCGCGTTTATTATTTTTTTGAGCATGTTTTAGTTTTTTTTTTTTTTGGGGGGGGGGGGGGAAGGCAATTTGTGCTGTCTATTTTTTTTTTTTTTTTTTTTTTTTTGCAATTTTCGCTAACGAGGTTTCGAGATATCCGAAGTCCGTCCTGAAAGCCTTCCGAGATATGCAAGGGCAAAAATGCATTGTGCCTATGGGAGCTCATTCCATGGCAAGGAAATTTTACGATTTAACCACTATTTCGGGATAGCCGTGTTCGAGTTAACGAGGTGTTGCATAATGTTTTTGCCGGAGCCTGCCAAATAAAAGTAAAGAACCGAAATTTGGATGTCGATCTTATGCATTCCGCCGGGCGAATGAATGAAAATGGCGGCCCTCTCCGCTCAGCTGGGAGCAGCCGAGAGTTCACGCGCATGCACTCACGCCTCTCGCTCTGTGCCGCGGGCTGATTGGCTCACTCGAGAGAGGGACGTTACGGCCTCGAGATCATAGACTGGCCAAACTCTCCCCATATACGGCTCAGGGGAAGGGCAGAGTCAACGTTACTAAAACTCTTAGTTGGAAAACTCACCCTTGAAACCCGGGCACTGGCATCCACCGAGACCAAGCTAAATACGATAACAGCGCTACCCTTTAGCGACGAGTTGAAACATGAAAGTTGCTTTACATAGCTACTGCGAGATGGCCCTGCGAGATGGCGCCACCGGCCCTTGCCCGACTCTACGTGCAGCGGTGCAGTTCCCAGAGTAGACGCTGCGGGAGAAATGGCGGCGTTGCGATCGCCATTAGCTCGGTTCTCGAGTACGGATCGGAGCCACTTTTTTAAAGCAGGCTCTATGGCAGTTTCCCAACTGATTGGTTCTAGTAACGCGGGGTAGAGTCCTGCCTTTCCTCGTGCGACTGCGCCCTCTGGTGTCTGCAAAAGTTCCCAGGTAATCGAACTTTTGATACCGTATCTATTAGAGAAATCGGCCACGCATGAATGTAATATTTTGTTTTGGGGTGCTTAGAGTCCCTAGGTTGAGTTTTGACCAAAAATAGACTGTCGCAGAAAGGTTAGTGCTACTTTAAAGTATTTGCGCATGGAGAGAGTTGCAACGTTACCTCAACTTTCACATTGAGGACGACGAACCACTCCGTACCTCGGACACCCTCCGGTACCCCCGAAATGTCCGTACAATCTCCCACAATACAAAACACCCATTCGCCGGAGCGGTTTATGTGACGGTGCTAAGCATGTTTCTGCCAGAGGCACTTTATATTGATAGAAAGAATAGGAAAAAGCTTAATTCATTGCCTCAACTCAAGCAAAGCGAACTTGGTTAAAGGAAATCCAGAAGCGCCATCCTGAACGGACGCCTCGTCGAATAGGTATTTTATATTGGTTGAGACTGTACACCTGTCTTCGAGCCAAAAAATTAAGCACAAGTTAACACAAAGTCGTTAGCACCAACCATGTGGCCCCCCAAAAAACAAAAACAAACCTGCAGAGCTTTTTTTTTTTTTTTTTTTTATCAGCCTGTTTCTTCCTTTTATACTCTTCTTTCCGTTGTTCTTTTCCGTGCATTTATTTCCTTTTTACATTTTTTTCGTCGTGTTCGTGGGCTCTCCTGCCTATTGTAGAAACAACATCGTTATGATCAGCTGGCCACTGATTACCAGGTTGTTTCAGATACAGTGCAGCAACTGGAGGCTTTATTATCGAGGCACATACAACATATCGGAGGTGCCGAAACGCAACCGATTCTATAAACATGAATAGTGTAAATACCACTATACACGTTTGTTCTGAATGGGGAACAGAGAGAAAATCAAGCCTGATTCAGATGGTGCGATATTACTTGCGATTTCGCAGTTCCGACGTCGCTCCTGCAGCAAAAAAAAAAAAAAAGCGTGATGCAAGTTGCGGTGCTTACCGCCGTATTTGCGAAATCGCAAACAAAATCGCACCATGTAAATCCGACTTCACACCACAGAGGCGTCACCGTCGTAACCTTAGTTTGTTAATATTGTTGAGACGTTGATAAAGGAGATTTAATAGAAGATAGGGGGGAAAATGCGACCAGTATGAATGGCTGTACAGCATTCAAAAAGCGCTCGTGCCGAGCGCGCGCTTGGTAAAACCCCCGCCTGTCTGTCCGTGCCACTTCTTCCTTACAATATCCCGCCGGTGTTGTAAGCGCCGGTCATCCGGCGCGTTTAGATTATGAGTCTTGGCGGTAATAGGGCTTCATGCGGCTGATGTGTACCACGTCGGAGGACTTGGAGCGAAGGTCGCGGTGCGGCGTATAACGAGCTCGACTTCATAATTGGTTGGGGAGAGCTGTCGGATGACGCGAAAAGGGCCAACAAACTGTTTGAGAAACTTCTCGCACTTGCCCGGTGCTCGCCGGGGAGACCACAAGAGGACTTCGTCACCTATGTTATAGGCAGTGGGGAAGTGGCGGTCGTCATAGCGCAGTTTTTGTTGTTGCTGGGATTTAAGGGTGCGGATGCGGGGGAGCTGACGGGCGTCTTCTGCTCTGCAGACAACCTCCTCTGCGTACGCTTGCATGAAGTTGTCAGGTCGGTAGGGTAGGATCGTTTCAAGGGGTGTTAGGGGTTCGGATG